AACCAAGGGGGGGCGCCAACCCAGACAGGAAGATCACGTCAGTAACTCAACCCACTCAAGTGACGCACCCCTCCTAGGGACGGCATGAAAGAGCACCAGCAAGCCAGTGACTCAGCCCCTGTAACAGGGTTAGAGGCAGAGAACCCCAGTGGAGAGAGGGGAACCGGCCTGGCAGAGACAGCAAGGGCTGTTCGTTGCTCCAGAGCCTTTCCGTTCACCTTCACACTCCTGGGCCAGACTACACTCAATCATATGACCTACTGAAGAGATAAGTCTTCAGTAAAGACTTAAAGGTTGAGACCGAGTCTGCGTCTCTCACATGGGTAGGCAGACTGTTCCATAAAAATGGAGATCTATAGGAGAAAGCCCTGCCTCCCGCTGTTTGCTTAGAAATTCTAGGGACAATTAGGAGGCCTGCGTCTTGTGACCGTAGCGTACGTATTGGTATGTACGGCAGGACCAACTCGGAAAGATAGGTAGGAGCAAGCCCATGTAACGCTTTATAGGTTAACAGTAAAACCTTGAAATCAGCCCTTGCCTTAACAGGAAGCCAGTGTAGGGAAGCTAGCACTGGAGTAATATGATCAAATTTCTTGGTTCTAGTCAGGATTCTAGCAGCCGTATTTAGCACTAACTGAAGTTTATTTAGTGCTTTATCCGGGTAGCCGGAAAGTAGAGCATTGCAGTAGTCTAACCTAGAAGTAACAAATGCATGGATTAATTTTTCTGCATCATTTTTGGACAGAAAATTTCTGATTTTTGCAATGTTACGTAGATGGAAAAAAGCTGTCCTTGAAACAGTCTTGATATGTTCGTCAAAAGAGAGATCAGGGTCAAGAGTAACGCCGAGGTCCTTCACAGTTTTATTTGAGACGACTTTACAACCATCAAGATGAATTGTCAGATTTAACAGAAGATCTCTTTGTTTCTTGGGACCTAGAACAAGCATCTCTGTTTTGTCCGAGTTTAAAAGTAGAACGTTTTCAGCCATCCACTTCCTTATGTCTGAAACACAGGCTTCTAGCGAGGGCAATTTTGGGGCTTCACCATGTTTCATTGAAATGTACAGCTGTGTGTCATCCGCATAGCAGTGAAAGTTAACATTATGTTTTCGAATAACATCCCCAAGAGGTAAAATATATAGTGAAAACAATAGTGGTCCTAAAACGGAACCTTGAGGAACACCGAAATGTACAGTTGATTTGTCGGAGGACAGACTAATCACAGAGACAAACTGATATCTTTCCGACAGGTAAGATCTAAACCAGGCCAGAACTTGTCCGTGTAGACCAATTTGGGTTTCCAGTCTCTCCAAAAGAATGTGGTGATCGATGGTGTCAAAGGCAGCACTAAGGTCTAGTAGCACGAGGACAGATGCAGAGCCTCGGTCTGATGCCATTAAAAGGTCATTTACCACCTTCACAAGTGCAGTCTCAGTGCTATGATGGGGTCTAAAACCAGACTGAAGCATTTCGTATACATTGTTTGTCTTCAGAAAGGCAGTGAGTTGCTGCGCAACAGCTTTTTCAAAAAATTTTGAGAGGAATGGAAGATTCGATATAGGCCGATAGTTTTTTATATTTTCCGGGTCAAGGTTTGGCTTTTTCAAGAGAGGCTTTATCACTGCCACTTTTAGTGAGTTTGGTACACATCCGGTGGATAGAGAGCTGTTTATTATGTTCAACATAGGAGGGCCAAGCACAGGAAGCAGCTCCTTCAGCAGTTTAGTAGGAATAGGATCCAGTATGCAGCTTGAAGGTTTAGAGGCTATGATTATTTTCATCATTGTGTCAAGAGATATAGTACTAAAACACTTAAGTGTCTCTCCCGATCCCAGGCCCTCGCAGAGCTTTGCAGATCCAGGACAGCTAAGCCCTGGAGGAATACGCAGATTCAAAGAGGAGTCCGTAATTTGCTTTCTAATGGTCATGATCTTTTCCTCAAAGAAGTTCATGAATGTATTACTGCTGAAGTGAAAGCCATCCTCTCTTGGGGAATGCTGCTTTTTAGTTAGCTTTGCAACAGTATCAAAAAGACATTTTGGATTGTTCTTATTTTCCTCGATTAAGTTGGAAAAGTAGGATGATCGAGCAGCAGTGAGGGCTCTTCGGTACTGCACGGTACTGTCTTTCCAAGCTAATCGGAAGACTTCCAGTTTGGTGTGGCGCCATTTCCGTTCCAATTTCCTGGAAGCTTGCTTCAAAGCTCGGGTATTTTCTGTATACCAGGGAGCTAGTTTCTTATGACAAATGTTTTTCGTTTTTAGGGGTGCAACTGCATCTAGGGTATTGCGCAAGGTTAAATTGAGTTCCTCAGTTAAGTGGTTAACTGATTTTTGTCCTCTGACGTCCTTGGGTAGGCAGAAGGAGTCTGGAAGGGCATCAAGGAATTTTTGTGTTGTCTGAGAATTTATAGCACGACTTTTGATGCTCCTTGGTTGGGGTCTGAGCAGATTATTTGTTGCGATTGCAAACGTAATAAAATGGTGGTCCGATAGTCCAGGATTTTGTGGAAAAACATTAAGATCTACAACATTTATTCCATGGGACAAAACTAGGTCCAGAGTATGACTGTGGCAGTGAGTAGGTCCAGAGACATGTTGGACAAAACCCACTGAGTCGATGATGGCTCCGAAAGACTTTTGGAGTGGGTCTGTGGACTTCTCCATGTGAATATTAAAATCACCAAAAATTAGAATATGATCTGCTATGACTACAAGGTCTGATAGGAATTCAGGAAACTCAGAGAGGAACGCTGTATATGGCCCAGGAGGCCTGTAAACAGTAGCTATAAAAAGTGATTGAGTAGGCTGCATAGGTTTCATGACTAGAAGCTCAAAAGATGAAAACGCCATTTTTTTTTTTGTAAATTGAAATTTGCTATCGTAAATGTTAGCAACACCTCCGCCTTTGCGGGATGCACGGGGAATATGGTCACTAGTGTAACCAGGAGGTGAGGCCTCATTTAACACAGCAAATTCATCAGGCTTAAGCCATGTTTCAGTCAGGCCAATCACATCAAGATTATGATCAGTGATTAGTTCATTGACTATGACTGCCTTTGAAGTGAGGGATCTAACATTAAGTAACCCTATTTTGAGATGTGAGGTATCACGATCTCTTTCAATAATGGCAGGAATGGAGGAGGTCTTTATCCTAATAAGATTGCTAGGGTGAACACCGCCATGTTTAGTTTTGCCCAACCTAGGTCGAGGCACAGACACAGTCTCAATGGGTATGGCTGAGCTGACTACACTGACTGTAATAAACTGAGCTTCTCAGTCATATTTTATTCACGTCACACATTGTAAACAAAGTCTGTTTTTTTTTACATCCATTTCGAATGATAGTTCCTCAGTATTTGAAAAATCTTTCCAACACTCCTGGCCTCGATAATCACCAAGCCTCGGTGTGAAAGAGCAAAATATCATGATCTGATGATTCCATATATCCAGTGGATACTACATAAAAACAGCTGTCTGTCCCATGCTCATTGGAATGGGAAACTCTGAGGGCCTGGAATAGGCTAGTTGATACAATGTTACAAGTATGGCCAGATCCAGTTGATGATTTGATACAATGTTGCACTTCACTAGCAATAGCTCAAGTCAAAGGGAGGCGGAGTAGAGAGATGCATGTGATTGAAAGAACCGTAATTTTCATCAGGATATTTTCTACTGTTTTTATTTGTCAGCTTATGTATTTTACTTAGTAGACAATGGAAGTTATAGTTCAATTGCTGCATTGGCCTATAGGCTTTCTTTGAGTTATATGCACTAATTTCTTTAGCCACCAATGGACCACAGTGTATCAGTGTCCAAATGGTAGAGGCTGGTGCTCACGCCTTAGTTGAATTTTTACTTTTAGATGTTTATAATTTTACTTCAGAGTTTTATGATTAACCACGTGACAATGATTTTGAGAAACAGAATGTTATTATTGAAATGCTAAGCTGAGCTTCTCCGTAATATTTTCTTTACCTCACACATTGTAAACAAAGTCTGTTTTTTAACATCCATTGCATATGATAGTTCCTCAGTATTTGAAAAATCTTTCCAACACAAGCGTGTGCACACAGGAGATCCTGTGAAAAAACATGCCCACCTATGGATATCAAAGCCCCTTCCAACTGATTCATTCTGGCACCTGCCCTGCACACACATAACACACACACACACACACACACACACACACATACACAGAAACAAACAGATGTGCAAATGTTCACATGCCTAACTGATACTGTGCATTGTCATCATATGCAGTTCACAGACACAACGCTATAGGCACACACAGGTATATAGCACAGTTCTGCCTCAATGCCTCAATGAGTTATGTATTCAGGAGATTCTTTTTCTGCAGCTTTAGCCAATGCTCTTGCGTAAGCCATCGCCGCAATAAACGGCAATACGCAAGCAATGATTTCCATTATAAATAATGAGTGGAACGATTACAGGGCAGAATTAACGGGCAGAATTCCTCTGTTCTTACAGCTGAACCGCTGCTTCAACCGCCCTGGCTGTTCAAATTGCTGTCTAAGCGTTCGTTCACATGCAGCTCCTTCAGTATGGTTCAGGGAGTGCTGTACAGGGTGTGTCTAGAGCTGCGTTAAGAGTAACCGGTGCAGGAGTGAGTCACTGTGTGCCTACCGAGATGTAACTACAGTTCAGTTCTGTGCTGCGCAATGCATCTCAGGTTGTGCGGACTGTTAGCATCCATAACACTACTGCTAAAGCAGTATTCTAATACTACTATCACCTTCTGCTAATGGTGGTCACTTTACCGAGGATTTCACTGACCCAGAAAAAATGAACTTTTGAAATACATACTGTAGCAGTTTGTTTATGTGATGATCACCATACATATGTGTATAATCAGAATGATCTTTCTCGTGAATGAACTCACTCCTTCCTATAGAACAGTAAACAACAAAATCCATACTTCCATGTGTAGCAGATCTATGTGTTTCTTAACCAATCCCCTACATCCCTCCCTCCCCCAGCCTGCCCTGCGTCCAGTATGGATGTCCTGGTCCATAACCAGATCAACGTCCTGAACGGCACCATGGTGAGGATCCAGTGCATCTTCACCTCCTGCTACAAGATGGATGTCAACAAGTTTGCCATGAACTGGACCTACCAGGAGAACACCAACGAGACTGAGGAGATGGTGAGAAACCAGACTGTGTGTTTGCCCTTGTCTTGTGTCAATGTCAGGCCGATGCATGGTGTCCATTTTAGGACACCCTCAGTCTCAGATTGACTCAAGGAAGGTGAGGACTGACTCAAGGAGGGGTAAAATGTAAGGCTAAAATGGACACCATACCCCTGGCTCTTTCTTCACTCTGTCATGATATACAGTCCAATTCATCTTATTGTTTCTTTTGCGTACTCCATCCTCCTTACGTTTCCTGTGTCAACTCCCTCTCTATCTACTTTTTTAAAAGCCATGCTTTCTCCAACTATTTCAATGTGTTTCATTTTATTTTATTTATTTAGCCAGGATAGTCTACAGGTGTAGGATCTTAATTTGACCAGTATTGTCGTAGCAAAATAATCCTGCCGCAACAGGATTTGAACGTTTAGTCCATTATGTTGATTTCATCAGTGGTTAGGCTATGAGCTGGACAAAAGTAGGCTACATTACATGAAAAGTGCAGTACTGTTAATATAACCGTGTGTTACTGTGGGTTTTCAGTGAATGTATGTAAATCACGAAGCGCATCTGCCTTTCCAGCTGTGCAGGAAAATTCTCAGTAATAAAAGAGTGATCAAATTAAGATCCTACATCTGTACTCAGTAACAATTGCCACTGTTTTCCAGAGAGTCCTGGGTTCAATAAAAACTACATGTTTCCTGTCTATCTTTCTGCTAATCCCCCTCTTCCTCCCCCTCTCTCCTCCAGTTCATGACCTATAAGAAGGGGATGATGCCCCTGCGGACAGACCGGTTCAGTGACCGGGTGCAGTTTGTGGGTAACCTGGAAAAGAACGACTTGTCCATCACCCTCTCTGATGTCCAGCTGTCGGACGAGGGCGTCTATAACTGCTATGTCCGCAACCCCCCTGACCGGATCCAGGGCCACGGAATCATCAACATGTTTGTCGTCACAGAACGTAAGAGCAGGGGGCAAGAAGAGCAAGTTACTTCGCCTGAAAAATACATGATCTAACTGATTAATAGTTGGTATTCAGCAGTCATGAAAGTATGCCTTATTTATTTGAAGAACTACTAAAATTGTGATTTTGGCAGACCTCATAGGCAGCAGCTCTATAGAGATGAGACCATGACTTGGAATGAAATAATAAAGTCATCAAATAAAACAAATATTTTATTAAAGTAAAGTAATGTGAATAAATTATGGTTAATAAGTGATAAGCAGTAATGGGCAGTCACTACCATCATGGGACTTGTATTAATTATTTTATTCAGTGTTGTTACAGCATTCAACCCACATAAAGCATAGTGTGTTTAATGTAAAAATAAATATCGAAACCTAAATTGAAAAACGTGATTTAAAAAATAATAGAACTTAAACCGAACCGACCTCAAAAAGCACTAATCGCTCAGCTCTAATCTGTGGTCAACTGGTCCATCCATCCATCCATACCAGCCCATCCCCTGCATGCAATTAATTAATGTGCCCTGGCCTTGCCATTCATCCATTTATCAATCCATTCACTCATCAATCCATCCCTTCATCCTTCAGTTCCTCATCTGGTTGTGTGTCTGTTCTCCCTTGGTCTCAATCTCAACCTTCCTTCAGCCCAGGACGTGATGACTCAACACTACACAGCTTTTTACTTATTGATGGGCGTGCCAACCCAGCTCACCTCAGAATCATTGCCTCTCACAAATGCTGGTCTCACACATACACACTTTTACACACACACACACACACACACACACACACACACACACACACACACACACACACACACATACATACATACATACATACATACATTCAAACATAAAAGGCTATTTCAGCAATGCTATCCTGGTTTTTCATATCCTCCCACTGTGGTTTACATTTTCATTTACATTTACGTAATTTAGCAGACGCTTTTATCCAGAGCGACTTACAAATTAATCAGCACTTTGTCAACTATACACTATCTACAGAACTTATATTGATCCTTCTGGTTTTTCTCTCACCTCCTTCTCCTTTACTCCTCTTCCCTCCTACTCTCCCCCTCCACAGTGCCTCCCCCGCGGGACTCGACCATAGCGGTGGCGATCGGGGCGTCAGTCGGCGGTGCGCTGGCTGTACTCATCCTGTCCATGGTGGTGGTGAAGTGTATACGGCGCCACAAGAAACAGGAGCTCATCTCTGACGAGCAGAAGATGGAAGAAGAGGGCAAGCTGGATGCAGAGGGGGGCACCGAGGAGGGAACCAAGTGAGAACCCCCCTTTGTTTTGACTTTCTCTTTAAGTCATGTCTTCTTCTTTAGCCATCCTCCTCTAAACATATATCTCTTCCTCGATACCTCTACAGACGTAGGATCTTAATTTGAGCCAATTTGCTACAGCAGGAAAATAATCCTGCAGCAACAGGAAATGTGAATTATTATGTGTATTATAATTAATGGAAATGTTTCTGGGGTTTTATATATTTGTAAGGGAAAATCAAGTCTGACATTTCTAAGTGGAAATTACAAACTTCAGAAACCTTTTTAAACCTCAAATAGAGTACTAGTGTACCAAGATCCTACATCTGTATATTGCTTTACTCTATGACTCCTTCTCAAGGTTGTGAAATGATAATAATGTGTCCCCTGATTAATTAACACTATCCTCCTCTTTCTTTTCTCTTTGCTGTTTGTCCTCTCTCTCTCTCTCTCTCTCTCTCTCTCTCTCTCTCTCTCTCTCTCTCTCTCTCTCTCTCTCTCTCTCTCTCTCTCTCTCTCTCTCTCTCTCTCTCTCTCTCTCTCTCTCTCTCTCTCTCTCGTCTTCTGTCATCTACTTGAAGCAATGCTCTTGAGGCAAAACCGGAGAGTCTTAAAATCTACTTCAATTATCTTTCTCTTTCAGCTGTACATACTGTAGTATGTGCACTGATGGGGTGGTCCGTCATTTATACCTAACAAGTCACAACATTTTGGAATAACCCCAAAACGTCACAAAATATACATGTTATGGAAACACATGCCAGAAAGATGTCCGGTGTAAAGTATAAGTGGATTCATACATTTCTCTTAAAACCACCCTGAACAAAGCTGACAAATATCTCCTCTTCCCCTTCTTTTATTCTTCTTGTTTTATTTGCGTGTTGAATGTGTGTTCCTGCGGGTATGTGTGTTTGCGTTTTTATGTGTGTTCTTGTGTGTGTGTGTGTGTGTGTATGTGTATGTGTGTATATTGCCATGAGCCAGGCAGCTATAACCGGCCTGCATGGTCCTGGAGGCCCAAGGTTCGCGGGAGCCCCACCCCCTCCCTCACGCTGGTAACAATCTGTGATTGGTGTTTTGTGCTGGTCATGTGACCCCAGTTAGCCAAGAAGAAGTGGCCACTTATGGCCTTCTTCCCCAAACCTTGCTCTTCATCCCTCTCTCTCGTTACCATGGTGATGGAAACTTCCAATTCTGTTTGATATTTAACTATGAGGCTCTGTCCTGACAATCTCAAAATAATAGTCTGTCCTTGGCTCATTTCCTGTATGACCACTGATGTGAAAGGACGATAGATTAAAACAATGTGCTGTCGTCTCATGTATCAGTGGTCATGAAGGACAGGAGACATGGAAAGGACTGTTGAGAAACAGGCTCACTCTCAACCTCTGTCCTGATCTCATCCAGTAGAATGGTCAATCTTATCCAACCTTTCCCCCTCTGGTCTGCTCTCTCTTCTACCTTCAACCTCTACCTGATTGTCTCTCTTCCAGGACTTAAATCTGATCAGTTCTGATTCTGAATGCCTGTAGGGCTCAATCCTAACTTCAGATACAAACACAGAAGTTGTCTGCACAAATCTGTCAACATGATTCATGGGGAAGGAAAAGTTATGTGCTCACTGTATCTCAAGTAAAATGTTGTCCATTACTTTTCACTCATGTGTTTGTTTGACCTGACACATGGCTGTAGACTCCACCATGCAAGGTTCCAGGATGAATTTGGGTTCCACTTTATTTGGATAGTCCAGATTTTCATGGTCATAATATCAACAAACTGTCTGTTGATAAGCAACTGCTTGCTAAGGTTACGGTTAGGGTTAGGTTTAGAATAAGGTTAAGGTTAGGGCTAGGATTAGGGTAAGTGTTAAGTTTAGGGTCATGATAAGAGTTAAGGTTAGGGTTATAAATAGGGTTAGGGTTAGTAGATAGTTAGTTGAAATGTTACTGATAGTCTGTAGAGCATCTACAAAGGGACTATCCAAATTTGTGTGTCATAGCTTTTTTTGGAGGCTATAGAGGTCTACAGCCATGTCTCAGGGCAATGTGTTTGTGTGTTTTTACTAGGTTTTGAGTTACTAGTATCTAACCTGTTTTCCACACTAACTCTATCAGTGATCCACCCCTGCGTGTTTCTGCACAGTACCTCCATTGCTGTGTTTGCATTGTGGTCCTAGCCAATGTGCTGTGGTGATGGGTGTGTGTGGTGCAGTCTGCGTTTGGTGTATGAGATTGTACAAATCAGTACATGTCCCAACATTGCCCCCTGATCCTACAGTGGGATATAAATACTGTACATCAACAATAGCATGGAAATCAGATTAAAAACAAGTCTGGTTGGCAAGACAACCAGTGCCTACTTTATAAAGCACTGACCTAGATGTTTAAACTATCTTGTCTTCTACTCTCATGTGACTTTCATTCTGTGGGACATCGTTTTATTGTGTTGATCTTAGGGGTGTTGTTTCCTTGTTTATGTTCAGTAGCTGGATTTGATGTACTATATGTATTGTATCGCTGAGCTCATATATATCTCTGCTCTCTTCTTTCCCTGCCTCTCTGCTTCCGATGAACCATAATCTTCAGAAAAGCATTCCTGCCTGAAGACGTATAGTGACCCTTGCTTGAATCCTCGTCCAGCATCTGCCTCACCCTACGCCCCCTCCCTCCCTCCTCTTGTCCAGCCAAACAAGATTGCCGTTATGGAAATCCCCAGCCACCAGCCACGCCACCCACGCCACAACTTCCTCTATCTTCAGTCGGCCATCTTATCTCCTCTCTTCTGTGGCGGGAAGCCACATAAGGTGGAGGAGACTAGGGGACAGCAGCCTCCAAACGACATTCCTCTTTCCCCTTTTTCTCTCGCTTCTCTCTTAAGATACAGATGTAGGATCTTAATTTGATCACCATGTTGCAGGAGAACTTTCCTGCAATGCAGGACATTTAAAATGTCTACTGTATGTGAGGTTTAAAAATGCTTCTGAAGTTTGTAATTTCCACTTAGAAATTTCAGACCTGATTTTCCCTTACGTAAAATGTATCAACTCCTAGAAACATATCAATTAATTATAATCCACATAATAATTCACATTTCCTGTAGCTGCCGGATTATTTTCCTGCTGTAGCAAACTGGCTCAAATTAAGATCCTACATATGTAGAGTAAATAGATGGTTTGACAGCCGTCATTAGTAGGAACGATCCTGCTCTCTCTCTCTCTCTCTCTCTCTCTCTCTCTCTCTCTCTCTCTCTCTCTCTCTCTCTCTCTCTCTCTCCTTCTCAAATATTTTCTTGTTCTATCACATTACTTAGTGATGCATAATGGCTGGGGCAAAAAAAGTTCCCTGTTCTTTCTGACAACTACTGTGTTCGTCCAAATGACAACCTTTCTGTATGAGAATGGTGTGGATGGATTCTTGGCTGTGTGTGTTCGTTTTTATGTACAGGGTATAAGCTTGTGAATGACTACGAGCAGTGTGGGTGTATACACGTGTGTGAATATGTGTGTGTGTGTGTGTGTGTTTGAGAATGTGTTTGAGTGTCCTTAGAGTGTCCGAGTGTCTTTTCTTCAAACTCAGACCCCTGAATGGAGAAGCCAGGGATGATTTTATCAGTAGTTAACTCTTCTGAACCCTTGCTTCACCTCCAATATGATATTTTTGCCTGTGTTGCTTGCTCATACATCGAAACGACACACATTTGTATTGTTATAAACTAATTTAGTACTATATCATACATTAGCATGACATTTTTTGAACACATTATGACGGGCACAATTTTGCATACAATGGATGGATCATTAATTTGTTGGTCTGTTGGTCTGTGATGAAATAGTAACATTGTACAAAAAGTGCAATCCCCAAATTATGTCCCCCTTTTGTCCACCTGCAGGTACCCTTACACAACACCTGAATGTCCGCCCTCAGTTAGTCGTTGACACTCAAATGAGCACACAGACACATTGACTATACGTGATCCAACACATAAGCTTTGAACACCACATACAGCCACGTAGCTGTTTTGCACATCAGAAGAGGCCTACACATACACACAAGCTGAGCACTTTCAGGGAAAACATAAAAAAGTAAAGAGTAACATTTATATCAGATACATATATTTATACGTTTTAACCAAATACCAAGCTGTACTCTAGAGGTGTGCTTTGATTACTGTCGCTATTTAGGTGTGGTCCTCACTGTCTTAAACTATCAATGTTTGAATGTATGGGACCTCTCTCCTCTGAGGTACAGTGAGGGAAAAAAGTATTTGATCCCCTGCTGATTTTGTGCGTTTGCCCACTGACAAAGAAATTATCAGTCTATAATTTTAATGGTAGGTTTATTTGAAAAGTGAGAGACAGAATAACAACAACAAAATCCAGAAAAACACATGTCAAAAATGTTATAAATTGCTTTGCATTTTAATGAGGGAAATAAGTATTTGACCTCCTCTCAATCAGAAAGATTTCTGGCTCCCAGGTGTCTTTTATACAGGTAACGAGCTGAGATTAGGAGCACACTCTTAAAGGGAGTGCTCCTAATCTCAGTTTGTTACCTGTATAAAAGACACCTGTCCACAGAAGCAATCAATCAATCAGATTCCAAACTCTCCACCATGGCCAAGACCAAAGAGCTCTCCAAGGATGTCAGGGACAAGATTGTAGACCTACACAAGGCTGGAATGGGCTACAAGACCATGGCCAAGCAGCTTGGTGAGAAGGTGACAACAGTTGGTGCGATTATTCGCAAATGGAAGAAACACAAAATAACTGTCAATCTCCCTCGGCCTGGGGCTCCATGCAAGATCTCACCTCGTGGAGTTGCAATGATCATGAGGAATCAGCCCAGAACTACACAGGACGATCTTGTCAATGATCTCAAGGCAGCTGGGACCATAGTCACCAAGAAAACAATTGGTAACACACTACGCCGTGAAGGACTGAAATCCTGCAGCGCCCGCAAGGTCCCCCTGCTCAAGAAAGCACATATACAGGCCCGTCTGAAGTTTGCCAATGAACATCTGAATGATTCAGAGGAGAACTGGGTGAAAGTGTTGTGGTCAGATGAGACCAAAATCGAGCTCTTTGGCATCAACTCAACTCGCCGTGTTTGGAGGAGGAGGAATGCTGTCTATGACCCCAAGAACACCATCCCCACCGTCAAACATGGAGGTGGAAACATTATGCTTTTGGGGTGTTTTTCTGCTAAAGGGACAGGAAAACTTCACCGCATCAAAGGGACGATGGACGGGGCCATGTACCGTCAAATCTTGGGTGAGAACCTCCTTCCCTCAGCCAGGGCATTGAAAATGGGTTGTGGATGGGTATTCCAGCATGACAATGACCCAAAATACACGGCCAAGGCAACAAAGGAGTGGCTCAAGAAGAAGCACATTAAGGTCCTGGAGTGGCCTAGCCAGTCTCCAGACCTTAATCCCACAGAAAATCTGTGGAGGGAGCTGAATGTTCGAGTTGCCAAACGTCAGCCTCGAAACCTTAATGACTTGGAGAAGATCTGCAAAGAGGAGTGGGACAAAATCCCTCCTGAGATGTGTGCAAACCTGGTGGCCAACTACAAGAAACGTCTGACCTCTGTGATTGCCAACAAGGGTTTTGCCACCAAGTACTAAGTCATGTTTTGCAGAGGGGTCAAATACTTATTTCCCTCATTAAAATGCAAAGCAATTTATAACATTGTTGACATGCGTTTTTCTGGATTTTGTTGTTGTTATTCTGTCTCTCACTGTTCAAATAAACCTACCTTTAAAATGATAGACTGATCATGTCTTTGTCAGTGGGCAAACATACAAAATCAGCAGGGGATCAAATACTTTTTTCCCTCACTGTAATTGATCTTGGATGTTCTTTGGATGTTACATATTTAGCTATATTAGTATTACACTTGTTGTGAATGTATTTGGGAGACAACGTGAGATGTCCAAGTTGAAGTAACAATTACTTTAGAAATTAATATACAATCAAATCATTCCACTTTCCACCCATTGAATTTCAAACTACCTTCACAGATGTAGGGCTTAAAACACATTATCATAAGAGCATTATAATGTATGTAAGTCTGTGAAGGATCACAAAAAGTATCCAAAATCACAGATAAACTGTGGAGTTGCTAAACAATATCACAACCGTAAAATAGTAACATTATTTATTTTAGTCAATATTTGTAATATTATATCTTCATTTGCTCCATGTGTCTAAAAGTCTTGGCTTTGTATTTTTAAACAGACAGTGTTGAGGGAGCAGATAGCCTATGGGAGTGTGGATGTAGTTTGTTAGAATATGTCTCTGGTATTGTCTGATGTGGTTTAAAGGCCTAAAGCCAGGGGCCACACTGATTATGTGCCCAGGAGTGCCCTACCTCATCAGGAGACACTCTCTACCTGTCTCTGCAATGGGCACTCCATTCATAGGCTGCTTTACGTTAGTCACTGCCAAAGCTTGTTTATTTTTTCAATTTTTTTTCGTATTATTTGTCAGATCCTATCCG